ACCGCTGGATGCCAAGGAAATGGTGTCGCCGGTCATAAATATTTAACAAATGCATCTTGAAACACACCAGGGGATTACTGGAGAGTGTGGGAAACAGACGGGCGCACAGGAAGCTCAAGGTCATTAAGGATATGAGAAAAGGATTCAAACCACCCACCGAATCCTTTGTAACAGGATGCAAGGGGACACCCCCACTGCAGCATCGACTGCCAACAATGGGGACCATTCAGACAAACTTGGTGTCCCCTTTAGGACCTTCTCCCTGCCCTGTGCTGGCCAGGACAGACGTTCACTCGTTCACTCACATTTGGGGCTGACCCTGGCACCTCGTAAAGCCCTGAAGGCAATGTGGCACCAGCTCATGGGGTGCGGTTGGCTCGCTGAAACCCTTAACTCACAGAGAGGGCTGCAGATCTCCGAGATGTCAGCAGCTCTCTGTGGCCACAGCCAGAGGCATGGAGGGCTCGGGAGAGCCCGCTGGAACCTTCCTTCAGTCGCCCAATTACCGCCCCTCTGCCTTCCAGGATCAGGGAGAGCTTCAGGCAGCAGCATCCTGACAAGCCGCTCTGCACGGGCGAGCGGGAACGCGACATTAAAAAAACGTTTAGCTTTAGCGCATTTGAGAAACATCTCAGCCGTGTTTGTTCTCGGCATAAATACACCTCTAATTAATTAAACGGCCGCTTTCCTCATCGACACGAACCTCCTCGGAAGCCTAGACTTTTGGCCGCCACTGGGTGATTCATGCTGCAGTCCCATGGTGGCGGAGTCCACCGATCCCTCCCCAGCCAGCGGTTACCTAGCAACCAGCCTAGCAACCTCGCAGCCAAGAGATTAATCCCCGAGCGATAATCATAAAGTAACATCCAAAAAGACATCTCGTCTCAAGGATGCCATCCAAAGGTAGGCAGAGACGAGGCGCAGAGCAGCCGGCACGCAGCTCCTGAACTGCACACATTAGAGACAAAAGGAGGACGCGTTATTGACTTGTTGCTTCCACAGCTGAAAGGCACAATCTCATTCTGCGTTTCACACACAGGGATGAAAAGAACCGAGGAGGTGGCTGGGCTGGGGAGCCACACGGAAGCTGCTCGGCCACCAACAGGATGAGGAAGATGTTCTGTCACAGCTGAAGCTGTGACTGACCCCAGGCCCGGGCCAGGGGGAGGATCCTGCTCTCATCACACATTCATCTCAAGCACGTCCTCTTCGCACACGCTTCCCAGTTTTCAGGAAGAGCCCCAACCCTTGACCAGCTGCACGCTTCACTGTGTGTGCATTCAGATGCTAGAAACATAACCAGGCAATGAAAGGCTGAGAGAACATTCCAGAAGGGCAGGCAATCTTAGCATTTCCAAAAGGTGCCAGGCCTCCTGAGCCTACCCGGCCCAGGGGCTGGAACGGACTCCCACCCATAAAGGGTCGCAAACTCAGCAGACATTAGAACCATCTAGAGAGCTTGTTACAGTGCCTATTCCCAGGGTGCAGGGCTCCTCTATGAAAATGGACCTTCCGGTGACTGTGACGCAGGTAGCCCCAGAGCCCGTGGGACACATAGTGCTGTGGAGAATGCCTCTCAGCAGACCCCACAGCGGTGCTCAGGGAGCTGGGGAAACCTCCTGCCCTTTCCAGAAGGGCCTGGAACAAAAGCAGGGGGCACCTGCAGAAAGCAGGTTGTTCTGTGCGAGTCTGGCCTACAGGCCTCCTGGCCTCACAGCCCGCTCTGCTGTTCACTGACTGACTGTGTGACCTTGGCCATGTCCCTCGCCCAACTGGGTGAGAACTTACGACTGCCATCTGTCAAGGGCTTACAGCTAGGCATGGCCCAGAGAGAGGGCTCCATCAGGAGCTGGCACTGAAGTTGCTCAGCCAGCGAGGGGCCTGCAGGCAGACCCTGGAAACCTCACTGGTCCCACTCCATCCAGGCTAGCAGCACAGTCACAGACTGCCCATCAGGCCACTCCTACGCATGACTTCAGCCCTGGAGAGGAGGCAGCATGATGGAGCCCTCACCGTGCCTGGCGCAGCGGGGCTGAGGACCAAGAGCCATCTGTGCCAGGAGTCCCCGCGCCCTCCCTTCTGCCCGACCTGGTCTCAGGGAGCTGCTAGGCCCTGCTTCCCTCCCAGGTCACTCACTCAGGTTGAGGGGCCTTTCCTCCAAATGCCACCCCACTGGACCTCGCCGGGACACCTGGTCACAGGCCTCACCCCCGAAGAGAAGTACGGGCCAAGAGCTGCCCCCAGAGGAGGGCGCTGGGGGTAGGGGAGCCTGGACACTGTGATACAAAGGAAGGGACGAGAGAAAAGCGGTGCTTCCACTGCAGAGGCCTCAGGGTGCGTGGGCCTGCCGCATACCTGAAGGCTGCTGGGAAGCGGGGGACTCGTGTCCAAGGGGCTAGATCGCAGGCCACAGGGCGGCAGTCACCGGGAAGGGTTTCAGATCAAAGGAAAAGGATTCTTGGGAGCAGACACTCCCACAGTACGAGGGGCACCTGGACTTAGAGCGCCCCACGCAGACCCGGTCTCCAGGAGAAGCCACGTGACCCCAGGGGTCACAGCCAAGAGCCGGCTGCTGGGTTCAGGCTCTCTGTATTGATTTCCCCTCAACTGTAAAATGGAGGTAATAACAGTGCATACTTCATGAGGTTTTTATGAGGATTAAATGAGATAACCAACTCAACAAGCTTGGCCCCATGTCTGGCTCATGGGAGCACTCCATGACTGGGAGACACGGGTACTGCCTCCGTACACAGGGCAGTGAAACACCAGCAGGGTGGGGTTAATCCCCGGAGGCTTCCTGGCGGAGGTGATACCTGAGCTGGCACTGGAAAGAGATGGAAGGGGAAAGGGGTCTGGGAGCTGGAAGGTGGGGCTGGGGGGAGGTGCGTACGGCAGGAGGTGTGGTGGAAAGGCACGGGCCCCGGGGGCACCAGCCCCCTGGTGACCACCTGGGACTCAACAGCGTCATCTGTCAAAGGGGCTAGCACAACCCCTTGGGGGTGGTTGTGAACGGCAAGGGGGCCACAGATGCTAAGTACATGGACACGCCAGGCCTGTGTAAGCCTGGGGAGATGGGCTTGCTGCGATGCAGGGAGCTATGGAGTGCCTACTGCATACATCACCTTCCCAGACGTCCCCAGGAGGTGACAACAGAGATGAGGCAGGTTCTGCCACCACAGCCCCTCCCCTCGGATGGGCACAGACCTTCTAAGCCTCAGGTTCTGGGCAGCGGGAGCCAGGGAACCATACAGAGGCTCAGCTGTGGCTGCCGAGGGCCCTGGTGGCCGATGTGCGTCACCCATGCCTTAAACAAGGGACCTGGGGACCTGCATCAGGTGAGTGTGCGGGAAAAGCGCACACGGACACCGGAGCTGGGGGACAGGGCCCGGCACACCGCAGACACTCAACAGAGGAAGGGACAGTTCAAGTGGCACACTGCGCCCCGCTCTGTGGGGACCTAAATGCCGGGGCTGGGAGAGGCGAGGTCCAGTCAGGGGTGAGAGACGCAGAGACACTCAGGGGTCGGCCAGCGGAGTGACGGGGACTGTGACCTGGAAATCGAGGGCACTTCTGCTGCAGCAGGGGGCAAGGCCAGGGCGTGGGCCAGCCAGGTCTGGGAGTGGCAGCACGTGAGACACCTGCACAGCCGGCTGGCCGCGGTGGGAGAGAGATGCTGACCTCGGGGCCACTGACCTGGTCCCAGCCAAGAACCTCACAAAGGTGTGAAGTGCCAGGTCAGCAGCCTCTGGCAGAGCCTCTCAGCCCGCCCCGCCTCCATCCACCCTAGCAGAGAGCTCAGGTGCAGACCCCACTGGGCCTCAACTTCCCCGTCTGTGAAACGGGTTACCCTGATCGTGCCCAGCTCTCGGGACAGCGTGCCTGGAGGGCTAACACAGTGAACGCCCCACCGACACAGGAGACGGCACCTAGGGCAGGACCCGCCGGCCACGCAGGCCCTCACAGTTTCCTGCGGCCCAGTGAGGCGGCGTGGAGCATGGGGGCGGGGGGGGGAGTAACAGGCAGGTTACCCCAGGCTCCCCTGTCACCCCGCAAAGCCACCTCACCTGTCCCAGCTTCACATCCGCCTATCAGCCGGTCCCCAGGTTGTCATGGAGATGGATTAGGGCACCGTGCAGAGGCACTCTACAAACCGCAGGGGTGTGCGTGTGCGGGCGCCTGTGCACCCATCCACGTGGGGCCCCGGGGAGCCAGCCAGGGCCCCTCTTCGAGGCCTGGAGACCACTGGTGTCTCCCAGATCACTGTCTCTCGTGTTTCCCAAAGGATGTTTCCAGAAGATCAACAACCTAACCTGCTCCTCGACCAACAGAGCCTCCCACGCTCAGAGGCCACGAGACTGTGGGGCGGGCTCCGCCCCTAGACCTGGCTGGACCCCACCCCTTTCAGCAGCTGCTCCTCCCTGAAGAACCATCCAGAGCAAGGCTCTCCTCCCCCAAGTGAGCGCCTCCAGCAACCGTGTGCAGAACGCACTGGCCACGTGCCGTGTCCGGGGGCGAAGGACAGAGGCTGAACACAGGGGCTCTGCATCCTGGCCCTGCCACCTATCGCCGGGACTGCTCCGTGCCTCAACTTCCCATCTGCAAAATGGGTTATCCTGCCAGTGTGACCTCCCAGGGAGGGTCGCTCAGAGGAGCTAGCCAAGCCCGGGGCTCAGCACCGTGTCCTGCACACAGTAGGCCCAACACCACACCCTTCTGTGTCTGCTTCCTTCCTGAACTGCCACAGACTGTAACGTTTAGTAAAGGATTTTTCATACGTGTATAACCTTTGTCTAAAGAAAGTTTAGATGTGGGTTTTCCATGTTAACACTAAGCAGTATGTGATCATTTTGGAAGATGAAGAAAAAGTGAAATTTTAAAAACCACAAGGTGCATTTTGCCCAGTTGGGATCCTGTCCCCGTTGCTCCACGGTCATCTCTGCAGCTGGTGGCCACCTCCTGGGGCCCAAGGCAGCATCTCCCCCGCCTCCAGGGCCACTCACCTTAAACCTCTCGGTGACACCCTCGGTGATGCTGACGGTGAACTCGGCTATCTTGGGAGCCCGCGCTTTGCCTTTCTTGCGGTCAGGTTCATATTCGGTCTTAGTCTTCACGACCACCTTGGCCAGGAGACAGAAGCAAAGCGTCAGTGGTACGGCCAGATGTGTCAGGCACATCGCCCAAAGAGGATGGGGTGGGAACTCTGGTGTTCAGTCCCCACCAGGCCAGGAAGGATTTCACAGAAAGAATGAGAACAGCTGCCACTTACTGGAACTCTCTGTGCCAGGACTTGCAGAGAAGTTACCCATTAATAATCCTGATAGCAGCCCCCTCCACAGGGAAATGTGATAACTGAGGCACAGAGAAGTTAAGCTCATTGGCCAAAGCCACACAGCTAATAGGTGGCCGGACTAAGAGGAGTCAGCTGGACTCCTGACTCCAAACACAGTGCTCCCTCCACCATCGAGCATGCTCGCCGGCCCAGGTGGGGAGGACGCGTTGGGTTGGCACTGGTCTCTCTGTGCCTCGATGGCAGAGCAGGAGGAGATTCAAGCACCCGGCTTCCCTCCAGGACTAGGAAGGAGTGGGCCGCCCGCCTTCACAGACACCGGTCTCGGGTCAGCCTGTCTCCACCTCACCATGCCCCTCTCTCCCCAGGAGGGTCTCCCTGCTCTTACTGCCCCCACTCTCTGCTGGGAAGCGGGAGCCGTTTTCCCAACCAGGAAACCCGTCCAGCCCTGCCCTTCAGCCTTGCCCTCTCTCTACCGGCACTGCCCTCATCACTCCTTGTGGCCGGGGTCTGTCTACTCTGTCCCCACCGGCCGGCAGGGGCTCAGGAGAGGGTCGAGGGGTTACAAGGCTCCCATTCGCAAAGCCCATGCCCCAGAGCAGGAGCCAGGAGGCGGCTGCCGACTGGAGAACCAGCCACACTCCTGCTCTTCCTCCCAGGTGACAACGTCCCTTTCACTGGGGACCCAGAGTTTTGGGGGAGATATCTGCTCCTCTGTGACACTGGGACCCAGGATGGAACAAGGAAACTCAGCGAGTCAGGAGGGCCGGCCCCGGGCAGGCAGCTGGAGGGGCTCTCAGACCGAGCGGTGACCCCAGAGCCAATCTCGGTGAGGAAGAATTGGGGGAGAAAGTGGCCCATGCCAGGTGCCACTGAAAAAGGATCCCAAGGGCCAGGTACCCTGAAACCACACTCTTGTCTTGAGTGACCTTCTCCATGGAGACGGAGGATGTGACAGCTGGGTGCCCACCCCAGGACGAGCCCGTCTCTTGAGGCAGCACTTGGACATCACTCTGCCATCCGTCCTCAAGTCCCAGGCGTACCTGACCAGCTGTGTGACCTTGAGCACACACTTGGCCACTCGGAACCTCAGTGTCCTTGCCTGTGAAATGGGGGCAAAGCCTGTCTCCCCGGGCTCCGCTGAGGAGGCGGACTCCATGAGCCCAGGGGGGACCAGTCAGTGTCCCGCCGGCCTGGATTCAATCTGCATCTGCCACTAACAGGCGAGGTGACCTTGGGCAAGTCCCTTAAACTCTCTGTGCTCCCATTTCCACATCTGCAAAATGGGGTAACGATGGTTGTCACCCTCACAACGTCAGCGCATTCACAGATGAAACCCGTAAAGCACACAGACGAGGGCCTGGCGCACGGTAAGCATCCACACAGGTCAGGGAAGACAGGCCCTGACAGTGCGGCCAGCTCTGGGACCACCGTCACTCGGGACACAGTCTCAGGACAGATTCTGTTTACAACCCTAACAGCTATCTGCTCTCAAACACCGTGTCACCTGGGACAGGCGACATCGCCTCTCTGACCCCTGGCTGTGAGCAACATGCTACCGCTGTTCAGGTTAAGAGGTCTCGTGTGAGAGATGTCTGGCCCCAAGCTGGGCAGAGCAAGAGGCCCTGCCAGAAGCTTCTGCCTGCATGCTGGAGAACGGTGGCCTTCAGCCCAGTGACCTTGGCCACGTCCCGTAAACTCTTTGAGAGTCAGTTTTGTCATCTGTGACCCCAGAAATCTTCTAGCCCACCCACTGGTCCCTACGAGAATTCTCATCTCCAGAGCATCGCTGCCCGTTGCCCTTCTGTTTGAATACACCCAGGGATGGGAGACTCATCACCTCTCTGAGCTGCCTAGGCTACTCCTGAGGCCCGACTGGCTGGCTGGGGCTTCATCCCTGCCTGAATCCTCCGTGACATAAGCCAGCTGTGTGCCGGACAGTTCTGGAATGGAACAGGCTGAGGGCAAAAGAGGCAGCTCAGCTGAGCCGGGGGAATCACCTGACAGAGGTGCTGTCTCAGGCCAGGCCCTCCTGGGCTCTCTCTCAGCTGAGGGGCCCACGCGGGAGGGGAAGCAGGGGCAGCAAGCCGGCTGGGCTCCCTGGGCAAGTCTGTGCCCAGACAGGGAAGGGGAGCCGGGCCGGGGCCCACCCGTCCGGAGCGGCCCCCCGGGGGCACACGTGCGACCTGCTGAGCCCCTTCCCCAGAAGGCAAGCACCTGCCGCCAGCCTCGCTCCTGCCCCGCCCCCACCCACCCAAAACACAGCAGGGTGGGGGGATCAAAACCACTCAAACGGGCCCACCGTGGGAATGAAGGAATCCTCCAGAAGGGAGGGGCCCTCCGCAGGGACATCCCCCACCTGCACGCCCGCCCTGTGGCCAGCAATCACCAGCATCAAATACAAAGCCCTGAGTCAGCACCTCCCTGCGGGGCTTAGGGGACAGTAAGTCGAGTGCGCCCCCTCGCGGCCGGGCGGTTCGAAGCAGCAGCAAGGCGGTCAGAACGGACGCTGCGCTCCTATTTCAGGTTCGAGATGTACAATCCAACCGTCCAGACTTCTAAACATCGTATTTACCTTGTTGAGCGTTGACACTTGAAAATATTATCCTTAACGGACAGAAACTACTTGACTGGATGATGTATTCAAGAAAAGAGGGGATTCTTTAAATTTAGCAAAAAAAAAAAAAAACCCACCCCACTTTGGGGAAAGGGTGATGGATGAATGGCTGTCCCCAGTCACACTAATATCGCGCGCGCAGAGCACTTCTTTGGAGATTTCACAAAAGGAACAAAGAGGCGAAGGGGGCGATATGAGAGCAGCGTCCGCCCTGCCGTCTGGGAGGGGCGGCGGGCAGGGTAAGGAGGGAATCGGCCCCTAAAGAGGGTCCTTCCGGGAAGGAGAGGGGCCTCCCCACCGCAGTGGGGCAAAGGGGCTGAAACGGCAGCACCTGGAAAGGCTGCGCCGCCCCTGCGCTCACCCCAGGCCCAGACACCCTGGTACCATAGGCAGGGGCAGAGCTGGGGGAGGCAGCTGGGGGGACGGGGACCTCTCTCCGACAAGACTCCCACGAAAATCAAGAAGGGACCTTTCCCCGACCGCCTTCCATTGTCAGGACGAAGCTGTCATGTAAGGCAAGGCGCCCCCACGCGCGATCCAGAGTCGCGCGCAGGGACGTCGCCCTCCGGGGGCTTCCTCCCGCCGCCCGAGCCCGCCCCCACTTCGCGTCCCAGCGCACGCGGCGCGTTTCTTTTGTTGCGGCCGCCGCCCGAGATTTGGGGGTGCGCGCCCGGCAGCACGGGGGTACAGGGGTGCGGGGGGGGGGCCTCTCACCTTATCCGGGGGCGGAAACTGCAGCTGATTGACATCGAGGGGCGTCATCAGGGGGATGGTGTCGAAGCCATCCTCCAGCAGCGGCTGCTTGGTGCCCTTCTCCGCGAAATTGTTCCCCAACTTCACCATCGTTCCGGGAGACCCGAAGCTGCCGCCTGCGGAGGGAGGGCCGGGCGGGAGTCACTGCGAGCCGGACCCACCCGCCGAGCCGGCGCCCGCGAGCTCGCCGGCCCCCGCCTCGTCTCCGCGGAGGGGTCGTGAGGACGCGGAGGTCACGGCCCGAGGGGGGCGGGGTGCTCTGCATTTGTAGACCCTCGTCCCGCTGGACAAAGGCGCCCGGCGCAGGGGCGCACCGCGGCCGGGGAGGGGGCGCCGCCCCTGCCCAGCCCGTCTAGACGCGTCCCTCGCCCTGGCGCCGCTGCGTCCGGAGAGCCCCGTGCCTCCCCCCGGGCGGACGCGCAGCCCCAGAGCCCGCTCCCCGGCGGGCAGGGTCGAGCCTCGGGGCCCGGCGGCCCCGCGCCGGCCGGCACTCACCCGACGCCCCGCTCCGGCAGCTCTGCGCTCCGAGCCTCCGCGCCGCCCGCGCCTGCTCGCAGCAATGGCGGAGGCGGCGCCGCGCGGGCCGGGGCGGGGAGCCGAGCGATTGGGCTCGCGGCCGCTCCCTCCTCCCGCCGCCGCCTCCCTCCCTGCCGCTCCCGGGGGTTAATTGTGCGCCGGTGAGTGTGCGCGTGTGGCGGCGGCAGCGCCTCCGCCTTGACGCAGCGCGCGCCGGGCCGCACAAAGGAGCGCGGGGCGGGCGCCCGGGAGCGCTCCCTCGGGACCCCGCGCCGCCCCGAGCTGGTGGGGGGGAAAAGCAGGGGAGATAGGAGGGCGCCCCCGATGGAGGCTCGGAGGGCACCCCAGGGCGGGGGGGGGGGGGGGGGGGTCGCAGAAAGAGGGGTGCGGGCTGCGCAATCCTGGGGCGGCGGCCTGGGCGCACGGCGATTCGAAGCGAGAAAGGGGAGGGGATCCTATGGATGGAGCGATCCCCCGAAGTAGGGGGAGGGTGCCTCGCCCGCGGCCGCGCCCACCTGGGGGTCCTGACGGGTGGTGAAAGGTTTTGGGGGTAGGGTTCCAGGGGCCAGTGGGCGATGGCAGGGACCAGCGTGTTCCCTTAGTGCGTGGCTGGGTTGAGGAGGGAACAACACAAAGAGAGCGCGTCCCTGTGTAAAGGAGGCACGGATGGGAGTGGAGGGGGGAGATTTTCGGTGGTGCCCGGGGTCGGGGGGACGCCCCGGGGTAGCTGGAGGGGGAGGTGTTCAGGGCGAGGAGAGCGCTCCGCGCGCTGCGTTGGCGGGAGGGGAAAGGCGTCTCTGGTCTGCGGGAAGGGAAGGCTGGGGTCCCCTCGCTGCAGCCGCAGCCTCGACAGTCCTGGTGCCGGGAAGGGACGGCCGGGAATGAAGGAGGGGGTCCTCGCCTGACTAGCTGCCTCCGTGAGCGGTCGCTGTCGCACCTGCACAGATTGGGCCCTCATTTTACAGACCGAGCCAGCTCCCGCTGCGGGACTCCCCAGATGAAAACCTGCAGGGGGCGGCAACAGCAGGGGCGGGAGGAAGGCGCTCCTGGAGCACCCGGGCCTGCCCGGGGAACCTGTGCGCTCAGGGCCCTGCTGGGGCCCAGCGTCGGTGTCCTCCGAAGCCTTCCGTTCGCAGCCTTTGGCCCGGGTCCTCCATTGCCTGGCTGATGGCTGGAGGCCAGGCCTTATCCATCAGCCAACTGAGAACCCTGAGAGACTGGCCCCTCAGAGAACCCCGGGGAATACAAGCAGGTAGCTGGAACAGCCACTGCCTGCCTGTGCCCAGAGCCTGGGGCCCAGCCCAGGAACTCAGCCCTGAGGCCCTGATTCTCAAATCCCCAGGAGGGCCCCACCCCTTTCACAGATGAGGTGACTGGAGTCCTCTTAATTGGCCCCGGGTCCCCAGCAGGTCTGAGCGGGCCTTTGACCACAGGGCAGCGGGCAGGGCCCAGGATCTTGGCAGACACTACCCGTGACAGCCCAGGGAGGGCAGGTGTCCCAGGAGCTGGCCCCTGCCACAGGCCTGTGGCCACCACCAGCATCTTTCTGGCCAAGGCCCTTTGACCCTCAGGGCTGATGCAGTGACATGATGTGTGTGTGTGGTTCCAGGTTCTTACATGGACCCTCTGGGTTCTCCTCCCTGACCCCTGGATACTTCGTGCAGCAGCCGAGAAAGAGTGGTTCGAAGCCACTACGTGCCGGCCAGACTGAACTCAGGGGTCAGGAGAAACCCTGAGGCTTCAGCGAGGGAGTGGCTTTGCCCCCATCTCAGGCGCCAGCAATTTACAGACCCCAACACAGGCCGCACATACACATACACTCTGCAGTCAGAATCCCACACAGGGAGCTGCAGGGTGGGCTGTCCTGGACCCCGTGTGGACCCCTCTCTCCCTCAAAGTCTCTCTCACCTGAGGAGGACAGAGACAAGAAGTACCCCTGATTGCACCAGAGACAGCAGTGGACGGTCACGGTGCTGCTTGCCTTCTCGTTCGGGCCGTCCTGCACCTGGACTGGTGCCAGGCATTGGCCCCTTGCGGCCTCCATCTGGGCGGGGTCCTCTGTGTGGGTGCCTAGCTGCGCCCTGTGAAGGCAGAGGCAATGCAAATGCACGGGACACAGCCCTCTGGCCAGGAGCTTATGCGAGAGGGAAGGGGGAGGGACGAGAATGGCAAGTTTTTGGGTGCAGCAGTGGGCCCAGCAGAGGGAGTGGCCACCTCCACTGCCAGGAGGCTGCGGGACAGGAGACTGTAGCTAAAGTGTGACGTCCACGGGGGAGGGCTGAGGCACAGGGGAGCGGACAGCGGGCAGCGTCTCCTCTCAGAATCCGTAGTTTAATCACGTCTTTGGCCAATAAGGAAAGAGTCGCAGGTCCTGGGGATGTGGCCATCTTTTGGGGGCCACCACTGAGCTCGCGACAGGCACTGAGCCTGCAAGGGGGCAGCAATCTGGGGAACTCAGGAGGTTGCAGATGGTTCTGGGAGGGGCTGGGTCTTGGCAAGAGATTAGATTGACGAGGTCACAGAAATGGGGACGACTGAAGCTGTGATGGTGGTGGTGGGACAGATTTAAGATGTCTTTGCAACATACGAACAGTAGGATCAACAGGACCTGGCCCCCCTCTGGACCCCAGTTTCGTCCTGGCACCAACAGCCCATAACCTCAGTTGCAGCACAGGAGGGCTGCTGTGGGTTTCGTTTTCCTAAAGGACCCTTTAAGGGCTGGTTCTAGGTTCCTGATGCCAGGGACAGACCCCCACTGCTCAGGTGATTGCTGTAACCCCGCCCCCATCCACCCTCCACTGGGCAGCCAGCAGCTGCTCCCCAACACTCAAGGCCCACCCTGTCATTGCCAAGTCCAAGCCGCTCACTGACGTCCCTTGTCCCACTGGCTGAAGCCCAGACTGCCACAGAGGAAGCAGTGTGACATCGTCTGATTTCCAGTTCTGTCCCTCTAGCTGTGTGACTTTGGACAAGTTGTTTAACTTCTCTGTGGCTCATCTATAAAATGGAGATGATAGAAATACCTCCATCATAGTGTTGTTGGAGAATCAGAGCTATTATTTAAAAATGCAAAGAGTACCTGCTTTGGCTGTTATTGTGGCTTTGGCCTCTAATTTGGTAGCCCTGAGGTCTCTGTTCTTGGGAGAGTATGCAGAGCCAGGACGAGGTGGCTGATGCTGGTCATGGGTGTGGGGTTAGTGCTCAGACGGACAAGGAAACTCTAGCCCCAGGTCCTGATGAGCCTTCTGGAGCCCCGAGAAGGAAAATGCCTGGTCCCGGTTACACAGCGCCAGGCAGAGCCAGGGCGGGCTCCAGGCTCAGCCAGTGGGCTCCCCAGTGCCCAGCCTGAGCCCTGCACAGGTGACACCCGTGTTGTGCGGGTAGCCACCAGTGCCGTCAGCATGTGGAGGCTGCAGTGACTGCCCCTTTTTCCCACAACGTGGCTATGTCAATCAGATACCTTCATCCACATCTTTTTTTAATTGAGAGAGAATTCACATACACAAATTCCACCACTTTAGAGTCTATACTTCATTTAGATTTTTTATGTTCTCACAAGGTTGTACAACCATCACCACTAATTTAGAACATTTCCATCACCCCAAAAAGAAACCCCATACCCAGGGACCGGCCCAGTGGCATAGTGGTTAAGTTCGAGTGCTCTGCTTGAGCAGCCCAGGGTTCGCGAGTTCCGATCCCCATTGTGGACCTAGCACCGCTCTTCAAGCTCGTCAAGCCATGCTGTGGGGGCCTCCCACATAAAACAGAGGAGGACTGGCACAGATGTGAGCTCAGCAACAATCTTCCTTAGGCAAAAAGAGGAAGATTAGCAACAGATGTTAGCTCAGGGCCAATCTTCCTCACCAAAAAAAAATAAAAACCCATACCCACTAACAATCACTCCCCACCCCCCGAGCCCTGGAAACTTCCAATCTATTCTTTCTTTTTTGTCATTGCCAAGACACCTTGTTTTTAAAGTTTTTTCCGGCTTCATTGAGGTGTAATTGCCATTGATAAGGTTAAAGTGTACGGCGTGATGATTTGACAGACGCATACATTGAGAAAGGGTGACCACACGTCCATCACCCCTCTCCTCACGTGGTTGCTTTGCTTTTGTGGTGAGAAATCTCAGCTCTGCCTGATCTGCTCCTGTGGGTCTGCCTCTTCTGCACACGTCCTCCTTCCTGAGGGTCCTGAGTTCCTCTGCCCCATTCCCTGAGTCACGGAGTCAGTCAGTGCACTGACACGGACTCTGGAGAGAAATTGGGGCTCTGGATCTTTCTGAAAGTGGGAAGAATCGGCCCACCTGGGCGGGGTCCTCCCCGTCTCCCCTTGAACCTTGTGCTCCAGCCACACCAACGCCCTGTTCCCAAAGCATCCGCCTCCAGGGCTTGGCAAGTGCACCCCAGCACCCTGTCACTTAGCAAACTCATCTTCATCTTTCAAAGCTCAGAGCCAATGTTACCTCCTTTTGGAAGCCTTACCTGGCCCTTCTTTGTGCTTGTCTGGCCCAGAGGGCGGGTAGTTTCACTTTTTCTGGATCAAAAGAGCAAATGCTGCAGAACCACTCAATCTTCCATTTCTCTGACGTGAACGGGGCCTGGCGTCCGGCGGCTACTGGGAAATGTGTGTTCAGTTGAACGGGCAGCCACGCGTTCACACTCACAGCAGGTGCAGACGTTTACGTGTCAAGTTTGTAAAGCCAAGTTCAAGGGTGTGTTAGAAAACTCACTGTCTGGGTCAGGTGGAAGGCAAGCCTGCCCGTGACAGCACGGTGACATCCTCCTGCGGCAAATGCTCATTTCTGGAAAACTCCAAACCTTACTTAAAATACATAATGTCGAGAAACGATCATAAAGTCAGTCCCTGGAGCCCTTGAGTGTTGGCGCTGCCTCCGTCCCCTCAGCGCTCGGCACACAGGAAGGACCAGCGAATGGGTAAGAAATGCTTCTCTGGACTTGCAGAAACTGAGTCAACGGTGTCCTGGGCTCCAAGTCAGTGGGCGACGTCATGTATTTAAACAGAACTGTGTGTGTGCAGGAGTTTGGGGAGTTTGGGCAGGTTATTTCTTTGTGGTTGCCTGCATAGACTTGATGAACCACTCAGCAATTCCTAATTCTTCCCGGTATGTTTCTAAG